CGAATCTCAAATTCCAATCGACCCAACGACAAACCTCTCTAATTGGGACTGTCCTGACGCAATAGATTTTCCCAAATTCGTTAAAACATTACGTCAGGTTCATCAAACAGGACTATTACCTGATTCTTTTAGGTCCAAGGAAAAATTAAATATTCGAAATGATATCGAAATTGAAGCTCATTTAGAATCATTAATAAAACAGTTATCAGGACGAATTGGTAATGTGCTAAACAATAGTAGTAAAAGTAATAATAATGATAAATATAATATTGACAATGAAGTTGAAAAGGATGGTAATTCAAAGGATAAAGATGAGAAAAATGGTGTTTCAAATATAAATTCAACTGGTTGGAAGTTTGTTTTGGTAGATGGGTTTCTCCTTTATTGGGATATTCAAGTTATCAAAGAACTAGATATTAAATTATTCGTTCAAGCTGATTATACGACGTTGAAAAAAAGACGAGAGGAACGAGCTGGATATGTTACCGCTGATGGTAAGATAGGAAATCATTTTTTTTTTTTATTAGTAAAATTTACGGGCAGATTAATATCGATTACAAGTGCATGGTTGATAGTAATTAATTTTATAATCAATAAATCAATTATAATAATTTCAATTACTAATGATTATAATATAAGTTATATAGCATTTTTTTTAATCGATTATACGAATTTTATTTGCAGCCAATAATCGGTTCATATGTTTACTGGAGATAGAATTGATACGTATTTACAACATTTTAAAGCTCAGCCAATTTGAATTAGTAAATTCTTGTGAAATTATTTGTTGCATAATCAATTTTAGGCAAAAGTCGACCATCATATGAGTGCTGCAAAGGAAAAACCTGTAGTAAAATATTTAAGTTATCACTGTAGTGGACTTATAATATGATATGTCTGCTACTATGATAACTTAAATACCTTACTTAAAGGTTTTCCCTCTTCAGAACTCAAATAAGCAATTCGTCAGAATTACTAATCCAAATTCCTTGAAATTTAGAATGCTATAGAATAATATCAATTTTATCTCCAGTAAAATTTGAATCAATTTGATTCATTAGGTCGCTGAATAGATCTATTAAAAAAAAGTGCGGGTTTTGTTGATAATTTGCTGATTACTATCAATACTAATCGGTCGAATGTACACAGATTCAATTTATATAGTATATGATCTTAGATAACCTTTGTTTTTCTTTTCTTTCAATTAGGTTACTGGACAGATCCACCAAACTATTTTGATACTATGGTATGGCCAAACTACGTAAAATCTTACAAACGTTTATTTCAAGGACATTCAGAAATTAAGCGAACCATTAATGAATTAGTGGTGTTAAATTCAAATTGTAAAAGAGATATAAGTATGAATTTAGAGATGGCAGTTGAGAATGTTTTGGAGTTTGTTAAGGGCAACGAAGTTTGTTAAAGAAATTGTTCGAAATGATGATAATTAAATCAACATATTACAAGGAATAAGCGAGTCGATAATAACATTTTGGAAATCATTTTAATTATATATAGACTTTTCTATATATTTATAGATTACATTTCTTTAGAAAAAATTTAAGAATTAAAATTTTTAAAAAAGGTTCAACCAAATTCAGAAAAAGATTATACAATTATATCCAATGTTATCGATTGGATAAATTTGCAAATTACCAAAGTAGATATTTTTGGCTTTACATTAAGGTTAATAGTAACTCTAGAATCACGTATGCCACATAAATAATGATAAAAATCTTAAGTTTGATCACTAATATCCCAATAAATATTATTTATACTGTCAATTCAATTCAATAGCTTTTGAACTACTGTATTATTTAAAATTTTAAATACTAAGTTCTTTATATGCTAAATAATTTATTTATTAATACATTCATATTGGTTTGATAACTAGAAATATTTCGACCTGACCCAGGTTATACCATTGGGTTCAACCCAACCAGGATAATAAATTGTCTTATACTCCCCGGCTGAATGAAGTATTTATGTTCATTATTTGTTGATTTTAATTACACCGAGTAATAATAAAATAACTTGAAGGTAATTAGGTTCATGATTTGCTGATTTTAATTCACCGGATAATTAATCATCTCGTACTCCCGGCTGAATAAATAATTTGAAACGAATTAGGATGTGGAATTAAGTATTCCTGTTTATGATTTTCTGATTTAATTATACCGGATAATCATCTTGATACTTACCTTCTGAATAAAATAATTAAGAGAATTAAATTCATGATTTGCTGATTTAATTCTACTGGCCATTGAAATTCGCGAAATGAAGGTAATTATGTGCCCACGAACAACAAAGTGAAGCTCTGGTCCTTTTTAAATTGGCCTAAAAAATATTTATACACTTCTAGAAGACCTCTTTTTGTAATTTTCGGAAACTCTTAGAGATTTTCGTCTTAAATAATAAATCATCTTATATTCCCCAGCTGAACGAAATAATTTGAAGCGAATTAAGATGTGGTAAATGAGTATTTCTGTTCATGATTTGCTGATCTTAATAATTGAAGAGGATTAGGTTTATGATTTGCTGATTTTAATTCCACCAGATAGTAAATCATGTACTCCACGGCAGAATGAAATAATTTAAAGCGAATTAAGATGTGATAAGTATTTCTGTTCACGAATTGTTGATTTTAGTGTAGCAAGCCGGCTTAGCCGCCTCAGCCGATCCAGCCGCGGCTTATATTACTGCGACTCAGCCGTGGCTAAGCCGCGGCTGAGCCGCAGTAAATATTTAATAACGTCGATTTGTAGCCAAATCTATGGTTAGGGGAATAAAGCAGATTAGTAGGACTCCATTGAATCTAAAATAATCACAAATTTAGTAATAGTTCGCGAA